GGCGAGGGCAGGATGGCGAAGGCGATGGGGGCGGCGGGAGCGCTGGAGTGGAACTGAAGGGGCAGTGCGGTGTGAAGCAGGGAGTTGAGTGGAAGGAGAGGGTGGGAAGAGGAAAGGAGCGGAGCGGGGCAGGGCGAGACGGGACGGATCGTAGCGGAGTGAGGCGGGGCGGAGCGGAGCTGCGGAGGGGTGAGCGGGCGCAGGGGTAGAGCTGGTGGGCGGAGCTGAAGGCGCAGGGCAGGGTGAAGAAGGGGCGGAGGGGGTCGGTGAGGACGAAAGGAGAGAACGAGCGCCAGCGCGCCCGTCTGGGCGGCGCAATCAGCGCATATTCGCGCGATGAAACAAGCCGCGTCGCCTCCGCCCGCGCGTCCGGCGCCCACGGCCACGGCTGCGGCGATCTAGCCCGCGCCTCGCCGACCCACTAGGTGCTCCCACTGTTGTGGAGGAGGTACTCTGAGAAGCGACCACTTGGACGGGTCGGGAAACAAATGAACGTCATGTCAATGAAGACATTGCAAGAGAGAGTGATGGCGCCATTTACAAATGAGCCAACTGTAACGCGTGCGTGTAGTGCGTGGACAAAACCTGCAGCTATGTTGTCAGCAGTGGCCAAGCAGTATCTGTCAAAGCGGTCCCTTCTTATATCTCTCTATACAGTACCTGCTGGAAACTGACAATCAATGCTTTTTCCAATGCATGCTTTTTCCAACGTTTTCATTTACAAAATCTTATTTATATAAACTTCTTATCAATAAAATGTTAAAAAAATACCTCGTATTTGTACATAAACGCTAAAGACGAGCCCTCAGTAAAGCAAGTATGGATGATGGAGACAAGTGTGTCGTAGGTAAGATTGTATATTTGTAAATGGGTAGCGTCGCGCATGTGGGATGGCGATGGCCACGCAGCTGCGCTTTCGCTTTGTGAAGCAGTTCAGAAAGACTACGTCTCACGACAAGATCAGTGGAAACAATTGAATCACTACTTGAAAACTCAACAAAGAAGCGGACGCTACTTTACTTTAATATTTGGTTTATTGAAACCTAATGAGCACGGATGCGACCATTGTTGCCCACGTCATGAGCCTCGTCCAACAATCGTGTCCAGTGCAGAGCTTGTTTATGACCGGATAAGGCAAAGACATTCGGCAACGGTGGTACCGCGTTGTTGGCGGCTGGAGATGAGCGGGTTTAGCAGTTGTGTTCCAATGGTGTGGTTGTTTGTGGGCGGCATCCGGACACCAGGGAAGTGTCGCGTTGTTGCAGCGCAGCCGGGAACCGCAGTCGTGCTTCGTGAGGTGGATATAGCACGAGAATCAGATTGTATCTGAGAGAACGGTGCGCGGGGCTGCGAGGCGACGACGGTGACGTCAGTAGTTCGCCAGGCTCGCAATCGTGTCTTCATGCGCGAGAGGGTCAGCGGGGCTGCGGATGTTCATAAGAAAATGAGGCGGCGTCACGGTCTGTGATGTTACTTTGCACCTGTCAGGGGGATGAGCCTGATTATGCAGATGTACTTTTTGAAACGCATAAACGAAAATCCTCCAGGCTGCACTTGTACGTCGTGGGCAACCGAAGGCGGCTGAGTCCCGAGTTACCGTTCAGGAACTGAGGCTGGTGTCCCGATTAATCTCCCTGATTCAGAGGGACATTTTGGCTGCAATTTTTATGAGTAAATGGCCCGAACACATGTTGACTTGCGATGGTAATATAAATGATGGTTAGTTGACAAAGTGCTAATGATCTGAATGATTTAGTGATTGAGCAGTGAGTCGTACGGGAACGGCAACAATACTCAGGTAATATAAACGAAAACTGCGGAGTGCCCTACGCATGTTCCACATAGTAACCTGATCTGGATGTTTTTTACTTTACACATAATTTTTAATTTTGTCCTTTACAATTTTTATACTACACTATATAAAGAAACTCAACATTTGTTTATCATAAACACAAATTTCATAGTTGGTGTAGATTGCGTTTTACATAAACATGCTTCACACCAATAACTTCCTTTTTCTTGCGTGTTTAAGCGTAAGTATAATCAAAATTACATTTTTAATGAAAATATATTTTAATTTGTTAATACAAAACTAAAGCGCCCAACGTTGTTTCAGTATTTCTAATACTCAATTAGACAACAATTGTATCTACTCCCGCCCTGTTCGGCCACATCTATCTTCTCTACCGCACCCACGCTCTAATTTTTTAAATACCATACTTGAATAATTAATGGAGCTGGTAAAACAGAGCTAGCGAGAGGTCATGATGAGAGTTCACCTCCATTCCATGTTTTATGTGAAATGTATGACTTTTGCATTTTTCATCGATTTCGACAAATAAGTAATTATTAGCCTTTTCCGTAATTTTAACGCATTTTTCGCTGATGTTTTAATCTGCTGTTTTAAAGCATTGTACTTACTTTAAATATTATTTACGAGATGCAGCAAGTGTATACCATAGAATTCCTGAGTAGCCTATTTGATTACCTTGCTAAAAATTGTAATGTCAGCCGTTGTAAGTATTCCGTGTCGCCTATCAGCGTCATTGTCGGTTCGTCCGATTTTGCGGTCACTAAAGGCAGAAGTCTCCTGATAAACACCCTAACTAAAAGTTTGCAAGCTGGGTTCGCTTGAACGAAAGGAAGAAGCCTCGATTACAACAGTAACATATCGAACAGCTTGAGTTGTTCATCTGAAATGGTTTTGATCAAATATTTTTTGTCCTTTTTCTTTCTTATAGGGCATTTCAAAAGCTTTTAAGAGTATTTTATGGCTCATTGTTGGCGATGTTTCAGGCCATCGAAGCCCGCCCCCCGAGCCATAACGCCGATGCGTGCTCGGTTAGGGAGCAGTGGCGGAAGCAACGGCAGGAGGAGCAGGGACGCCCGAAGGGGGCGCCCGGGCAACGCTTAGCCATGGAGGGGCCTGCGGGCTGCGCACGCTCCTGGGCGAATAGGGCGGGGCGTAGTGCTAACAAAAATCGATGTTAATAAACATCGATGTCCAAAATTAAACAATAGATGCTTATAATACATCGCGAGGCATTTTAAAAATCAATGTTTTTAAAACTGCATTAGTAGCCATTAATGTTCATGTGGGGTTATTGAGAGTTGTCGCGTTTATTAATTTTGAATTGACAAAACACAAAGAAGAAATAATCAGGACGTTTAACAAAAGTTTTATTATCTGACGAGTTAAAAAAAAGGATATAGACTTCACTTTTTAAAGATGTCTTATCTATTTTGATTATTCTTACTTCTTGGTCACATTGGTCTAAAGAATCTTTAATTTATGAATATCTGAAAATCATTACAGATTTTTACTATGACGGTACGTTTTCATTCAAAAATAAAACCATCGAACACAAAACATCGATGTTTCAAAAAACTCGGTTTCAAAATATCGATTTTTTCGAAACATCGACATCGATTTCTCTTCTCTAATGGGGAGGCATCGCATTCAACCTCGCGGTACCTCGGTTAACACCTACATTAAATGTTAGGTGGTGCAGGATATCAATTGATGTCACTGCTTCGTCTCTGACCGGGAGTTCCACCCCACACTGTCGCAGGATTTTCAGCACTAGTTACTTAGCTAGGTCGAGTCCAACTTTTGTCTCGAGGAGAATTCTAGTGGCCAGCTGCTCTGATCGATATTTTTTCATGGCTTCTCCGATCAATGCAAGGAGAGTGCCGGAGCAGTATCCTAACAAACAGGCCGCGATCTTCTCTTTCTCTTCCTTGCCTCTACCCCTTACACACATGTCTGGAGTCTTAGCGCCTGGCCCTTTGTCCTGACTGGAGTGATGCCATACTGGTGAGAGATACCTAGTTGGGGAAACCACGTGAAGTGTATGGGTAGGTTGACATCGAATTTTGCCATCCAGCGAACCGCAATGCAACATGCACTATACTTACAGAAGCAATGACGTTAGCCGTTGACGCGCCCAGAATCACTAATCAGTCAATCAATCGATTAAATTCAGGATTCTGTAAAAGTAATTTGAGGTGAAAGGTTCTCGACATTTTCTTCAATGACCTCTCATTTTCCCATGTCACTTATTCCTTCATTGTAACATAGCTCATTCCATCATGTTCGTTACCGTCTATACATCAATACACTTTCCATTTCAGGTACGTCATATATACTCAGTTTTCATTATAAAATAGAACATAGTGCAAGCAATTTGTATCGAAGCTGCGAGTGCAATAGCATTCCGCCTTTAGGCACCTGAATTAAAATGCAGGACACTCCAGGGATTTCCGGTGCAAAAAGTGACTACACAACATGATTTTAGGCTTCGTTCTCTGGTTTGTTCCAACATCCATTGCCGCGACATTCACTCCACCGTCCTCATTTCATTTACCTCTCATGGGCGACTGAGATTCAGGAGTAGCAAGGCACTGCGGTCGGAGAGGAGCTGAGATCGAAGGGAACGCTAGGCGGAGAAGAACAGCAAGTCGCGGCGCTGCACCCGTCTTGCGCGTCCATGGTTTGGTCAACATCGAGTTTTAATCGAGCGTGGCTTTAAAGAAGTTTATGCGAAATTAATGTATGTACTTTGGCGCAATAGCCTCTGACGAAGCCTGCGGCTACGGGTTACGGGTTACGGGATACGTGGGGTAGCACATAGACATCTCTATTGATGCGAAGTACTGGTCCAAAATCGACTTTGGTTCTCAATGTGAAAGGAGGCTGCAGACGCGTTTGCGAGTGACGGTGCAGCAGACCTTATCAATGCGCGGCATACCACCGCTGGTAATTTTTGAGTCTCCTCTTTTCCTAATTATTAACAGAATCGACCTTTGAAATCGCCATTTAATAAGCCAAACCCCGAGGCTCCCGAAACATCCCTTTGCGCGGGTGGCGGAGCAGCATACTACCCCATCGCGCTGCAGGCCACCAGGGATCATGAAGTTTTCGACAGCTCTTCTTCGCGGGGTCTTTAACATAAAGGCCGGGCCGCGTGCCACAGGCGTCGCCCGGGCGCTGCACCTACCTCCGGCGTCGGCGGGCGAGGCGGCGTTGGCGGCGGAGGGGTCCGCCTTGGGGTCGACCTCATTGCTGGTGGGCGGCTTGGGCAGCAGGCGTGAGTTGCCGCGCTGCAGCTTGGTGGGCCCGCCGCCCTGCGCGTTGGGCTTGAAGGAGGCGCGGAAGGACGAGCACGAAGAGCAGGTGTTCCCCATGGCTGCGGGGCGGGGCGCGGCGTGGGGGCGGACGAGACTCGGGGGCCGTGCGACGGCGGAGCAAGGCGGAGGCGCACTGGCGGCGGTACGCGGCCGTGCGCGCGACGCCACTCCACCACCGGCGACGCCAGCGCTCCTGGCGGAGGCCTCCTGCGCGCGTCCTTGCTCGTCGCCCTCCGCCCCTCCCCGCCGCACCCCGCCTCGCCGCACAGTGCGTGCTTCTGGAGAACGCTGCTCGACGGCCACCGCCGCCGCCACCGCCCGATAACGCCCTCACCGGACCCCGCCCCTCGCCGGACCCAGCGCTTCGGGCACGTCCTTTTACATCAGGCAGAGGCACTTTCCTTCCATACGACCACAGAACTACGAACTTAATTTGTTTGTTTCTGTAAGAAACTCTCTCTCTCCCTCTCACCCCTTCTCTCTGCCTCTCTCCCTCTCTCTCCGCTATCTCCATCCTCCTTTCCCCTCTCTCTTCCTCTCTCCATCCCTTTTTTTAAGGATTTTTGTTCGTGATTTTAATTTCATAATACCTGTGAAACAAAAATAATTCAAATCATATAGAAGAAATTACAGCCAACCGACGTATGAACTGAATATCTCCATGTCCGAAGTATAGTGCACTAAATCTCAAGAAAGCCCTTTAAATTCGAAAAATTCAGGTTCAGATCAAGTTGGTATATCGTAACGAAATGGTCATATATTCCTATCTGTGGTGTTTGGTCGAAACATGGTAACTCTAAAATTACATTTAGATCCAAATGTTTCGATTCAACATCAGTACTTTTTAATGAATTGGAAATTAACTTGAAAACGCTCTAATACGTTCTTAGGAAAGGAAAATTCAAGGAATCAAACTGCCAAGTTATTTTCTAATTCGTTTTAAAATGTTATAATGTGGAATAGCAAGAGTTGCCTCTGAATGTGATTTCGGAGTTACGTTTTGACCAAACACCGCAGATATATGTACTCTAAAATTGCATGCACCAAACAATTACAAAAATATGTCCTCCGTTTATCTTATGAGAATGAATTGTGACATTTTGGACAAGCCAAATGATGAAATGTAATCTTATGATGGTCTCACTTAACAAGACGCCTTTATGTTCGACTAGGTCGTGTCATACATACACTCACATGAATCTTTTCGTGGATCTTTTCGGATGGCCTGGGCGGTTTAAAGTCTTTATTATTCGTAGCTGGTATTGCAATAGGTTCTCTGAAATCGGAATTCTTATTGAACAGTTGATTGATTTATCATATTTGATGATATCAAGTATGCTCTTGTTTTGTCTTGCCCCTGTGATACATTTGTCGTCTAGTGAGTCACCACTAAGTGGAATTGACGACTTCTTCATTGCCGAAGAAAAACTTATTATTTCGCTTCTTGGAACATTAATATTCTCCAAAGCACAGATATTTTTGGACACTATCTCAGAGAAAGGAGTAAGAGACGTACAGTTGCAGATATCCATTTACATATCTAGATTTTTGCTTTGTGTACATATGAATATAATATAGTGCTCAGTTTCTTTTACTTAATTGGAACACAAGTTTTTAGTGTTCCAAAGTTGGAAGGAAAGGAAGTTGCGGTGTCCAACACATTTCGTTTATTTCAAATCCCATTGAATGTAATAAAAGCCCGACAAAAGCTCGTGAAGATGATATCAACAGACAATTTCAAGTGTATGACGGGGGCAGTATAATACCTTTGCTGAGCTCCAACGATGCAAGACTTGTGCCACCACGGTTCAAGTGATTACTCCGTGCGATAGCAATGAATTGTCGAGACCTACGTGAGGCCTCCTGGTATACTCGACGAATTATGTTTACCTACCGTTTTTGATATAGAAAGACCCAACCGTCTGACAATCACACAATCACGTATATTGAAACACATTTTTTTAACCACGAGTAACATTGCCGGTGTTTTAAGTGAATGAAGCGAAATCATAAAACTTCTGCTTATGGAAAATTCACTGAACACAGGTGTATGTACATAACATAATAACACATGATTAATATATTTACCATTCCTTAAAAAGTACTATGTAGCATATATACTATTCCCATTATACTTACATTTAATAGTATAACAATTACACCAGATTATTATTTCAAACTCCGTTTCTAAACTTACAATTGAAAGTTATTCACTATGTATTGTTTAAATCAGGTTACATGAGGTAGAGGACAATTAGGTAAACGTCTACTGCGATAGAGTGGCGATTATGTTCCGTCACTTAGTTAGTGGTATGGGAGTGCAGGGGTTCTAGGTTGTACACCCAGTGGGGTGAAATTCCGTTTTCAAAACCAGCTAAATAGTTGGCGCGAATGGCGCGTGTGTCAAATTTCACAGAAATAATTTCAGAGACCACCTACTAGTTGACATCTATTGCTTCACCGGATCCTTCCGAAAAAGTGCTGGAGCAATTATATTTTTCGTGCGTGGGGGGGGGGGAGAAGGAGCAAATAATAAACAAGTAATTATGAACTCAGCGCATGATTTTCAGAAAGAATATCAGCTTATTCACAGAATACCATCAAATTGACTGTCAAAGTCCCCATCTCGATCAGGTTAGTCCAGTTTCCGTGATCCATTGAGCAAATGCTGAAATGGCTTCTGGCCGTAAATGTAGCTTCACTATGCGCATGTTTTGTTGCTCTCTCCTTTTGCTTGTAATGGTAGGAGTAGAGGTAAGGTCGAGTTACTATTTTGTTAGCAAAGCTGAAAAATCATATCTACAATTCGTTTACAAATGCAAATACGTTTTCTATAACTCGGGAACGAAAATGTATATTTTTTTAAATATTGATAATCTCGCGCTTTTTTAAAATTTATTTTTATTTATTTATTTTAAACTTTTACTCGTCTTTCAGCTATTTAAAGTTAAAATGACCACAAGGGATTCTGGAACCCACGAAAACGTGCGCAGATAATCATCTCCCCCACAGGTCACATAGAGTTTTTACTGTTTTTTGGACTAAATAAATCTAAATCCAAAGTTATCTCTCTTATTTATATAGACGCAGGGGCTGGAAAGAATTCGTGGGTCTAATGTACGCTGGAAGAAGTCGTTCGCCGAAAGAGTTTAGCAACGAATGGCTTCAGGGCCATAAATTTGCTGACGTAGAATGGGCGCGTGGCCGAACGGAAGGGCCGCGATTGCAGAGGCGGCGGGAGCGGGAAACCCCTGCGCTCCCGGACGCGCCCGCGCCCGCGCCCGCGCCTTCCAGCCAGCTCGTCACGTCGCCTGCGCTCCTTCCCTCCTCCAACGTCCGGCCAACGCACGCATTCAAGCTCTAATTGGCAATTTGTCAGTCGATACCTTCGCGTCAATATTACAATAAAAGTGGAATAGTTCTTCATGCACCAAGGGCTTTAGAAGGTTCTAATGACCGAGCGGTGACAAAAGAGCGAGCAGCTTCTCGTCGCTCGAGATTATTAGAATCAGTTGACGCCCGTGGTACAAACATGATTTTATTTTTTACCTAATTTTAATTATTCATATTTATTTATAATTATCTAGTTAACTTGACTCGGTTTGTCTTCCCATAATTCCCTCCGTAAGAGAACATGTAGCAATACTCAACTGTTTTCATATATCCTCCGTAACCACGTTTCTCTCGATCCAGGTTATGCCGTGAATATCGAGTTTCATATCGAAGGCAAGAACAAGCAATGATATATCAGTAAAATAATAGTTATTTATCCACTCAGAGCGTTATAATGGTTTTCATGATCGAGATGCGACAAAATGCCTGAGGGCGAGATCGTTAATGCAATATCAGTTAACGCCCGTTGTACATACATAATTTTATTGAATCAGATGTACCTATTATCTAATTAACTAATGGGAACTTGGTTTGGTATTTCTTTTCATATTCCCCTTTCATAATTACCTCTCATAAATCCCTCCATAATAGAACATGTAGAATCATTCAACTGTTTTTTCATATTTCCTTCGTAAGCACGATCCTTCGAAGAAAGTAAGTTATGCAGTGTGTGTGTATATAGAGCTCCATATTGAAGGCAATAACAAGCCATAACGTATGAACCAAAAATCAAATAATTAATATTTTTTTCTTATGTGTGTTTGTCTCAATGTATCGCGAGAGTCGCTAATGTCAATAGCAGTTATTCGATTTAAAATAAAATAATAAAAGGAAAATGTTCGCGATATTTCCAAAAAGAGCCGTTATTGTTTGAAAAGAAACTAGTACCATTTGTACCCGCAAAAACGCAAACTATTTCCGTTACCCCTATATGACCAACCTCGCAGGGAAACATAATCTTCCAACGCTTTCAAAGACATTTGATCATTTGCATTAACCATTTTTGGAGATTTTCATTGACATCATTTTAAGATGCTAATTATATTCGAATGAAAATAATAAGATCTCGTTTTAGAGAACAGATTTCGTTAAGACAGAAAATATTTTCCTTTATTTGGCGATCTGGCGTCGTTAGACAATATTGATTAGATGTAAATATATTCCTTATTTTGCAAATGGACACAGGCCTTCGGTAGGATAGCCTCCACCAGATCGATATTTTTCCATGTCTTTTCGACCAACACCTGGCGAATGCCGCAGCTGTACCTTAACAAACTGGCCTCGGTACAGTGCGCGATCTTTCCTTCCTCTTCCTTGCCTTGCTGAGAGCCGTTTTTAACTTACGTAAGGGTGCTCCACGTCTTTACGACTTTGTCCTATCTTTTCACATGTTCTTTATGTTCTCTGGGGCCGCTATCACAAGAATGGTTCGTCTGAAATATTCCTGCCTGGAAGATGTGCAAGGGGCCAATATACTTTCGAAATAGTGACTGTATAAAATATTCCACGTCGTTCATATCTCTTGTTGAACGGTATGCAAAGGCGTCCAAGGTCGCCGATTTTGCTGTTCTCCTCCCCCTCGTCTAATGTGTTCATAGTTGAGCAGTTACTCTGCCTTATCTGCCCCTCTCGCGTCTAACCTAACCTAACCCACAAGTAACTAAATGCTAGCTCGTCCTGGTAAGGCCGCATCGCTACTTTCCCTTCTTCACGCGGGCG